CCCAGGCCTGTGTCCCCTGTGGTTTGAATTCACAGAGCCCCTTGACCCCCCACCTCCCTGAACCCGCTGACCACCTGCTGGGTTAGAGCCACCGCTGTCTTCACAGGCGTTCTCTGAGCTGCTTGGCTGAGAAGCAATCAGGAGAGAATTGCATTTAGGTAGAAAAATCAGTGCAATGAAGACTTTGGATTTATTAAAACCAAGTTGTCCCGAAGGAATCAGATGTGGGCATCTCTGACCAGAAAGCGTCCTATGCTGCTGGATCTTAGGCCGCCTGAGGGCACGTGGCAGGGCCGGTGGGATGCACTGGGAGCAAAATCAATTAAACAAAAATGCCCAGACCGCCGTGGGATGAGATGTGTGTGTAGATTTCATCCACAGTTAAGTTTCAGATCCAACAGATTATGCGGCCTTTTCCATAATGGGCACTGATGGAGGGACGGGAGCACATCGGTGTAGGCAGGGCTTGGATTCAGGAGGCATGTGAGGGTGGCGTGGAGAAATGGGAGGATCCAGCGGGCACATCCGGTGGGCAGAGGGAGGCCCCGGCCTGGGAACCCCTCTCCTAAGCGCCCTTTGCCTGGCGGCTACGTGACCCTCCCAGGAGGATCAATTTAAGTTGCTTCCTTGTTCACACAGTCTCGGGGAGTCCTGCACGCCTTCTCTGTAGCGCGCGGCACAAACACAGGTGTGTTGGGTTAGGGATAACTTGGGGCTTTCCCTGACCCGGTGCTGGTGGGCTTGAGGTCTGCCTTGCTCACAGCTGCCTCCCTGGTGGGGACCCGGAGAAGACCCATCCAGCCATGCGTCCGTGTCCAAGTCAGCTAGCGGGACTTTGGTCTCCTGGTACCCGGGTGTGGCTAAACTGGAGCCACTTACGAACCAAATCCCAAAGGAGCAGCGTGGGTTGCACATGGTGGGGAAGAGACTCCGTTGCGGAATCCCAGTGGGACCCCGTGGGCCAGAGGCGCTTATGGGTGACCAATATGCATGCTATCGAAGAACACTGAATTTCACAGTGAGGAAACTATTTCCTCCTGCTTTACTCTCTCTGATTTTTCTGATGAAGGCAGGAAGGGCTCAGGGTGGAGCCAGGTGTCTGGAGTTCTCTAATAGCGCGGATAGGCAACGGTAAACTGGATAGTGACGTTGTTTCTACGCTTATGGTCGCAATGTCATTATTTTGGGAAAATTAACTGTAAAATACATACGAAGTGAATTAATGCACAGGTGGCACCTGGAAATGGCAAATCTGAGAAGGTGGCCCTCAGCTCCTGTCTGCAGAGTCATCTCCACTCCATTCTTCCCGTGTGGCTTGAGACGTGACTGATAGGAGGAATCAAGGGCAGGAAAAGTGAGGGGAAGTTGGTACGTGGAGGGCTGGCCACAGCCTCCTGTGTGCATCTTGCTGGGCACAGCCACAGCCTGGGCTCTGAGCTTCCAGCACCTGCACAGAGGGCCTCGAGCTCAGGCCAGACCTCTGCCCTGTTCCGGTGTGTGCCTTGACCAACCTGATGAAGACCATTTCCCAGCTCCCTGGGAAAGTCCATGCTGCCCACACTGGCACGCAGATTCCTGCTGTCCGTAGTGGGAACCCTGTCCACAGTTGTCCATAGAACAAAGTCTACTGTGGGTTTAACCCCAGCCCCTGTCCCCTGACACATCTCAGGACCCCACCCAGCCTCTGAGGGCATCACCTTGCAAGGGTGTCCTTCAAAAAATGAGGCCGGCTTTTTCCCTTTGCGTGGTACATGTAGGGCGGTCTGTTTCAGAGTGAGATGGTGGGGAGAGATTATCTTTTTCTTTCCTTAAACAGCTTTATGAGCTGTAATTCACAGCCCATACAATTCCCCCATTGACACGGTATGATTCCCTGGTTTTCAGAATATTCACAGGTATGCGCGTCCATCACCACAGTCAATCTTGAAACATTGTCATCACCTTGGAAAGAAATCCCATGAGCTGTGGCTTCCCTGCCCCCATTGCAAGCAACCGCGAATCTACTTTCTATCTCTATAAATTTCCATATTTGGAACTTTCATGTGAATGGAATCATTCAGTATATGGACTTTTGTGACTCACTTCTTTCATTTAGTACAATGTGTTCAGGTGAGAAATTCTCTCTCAAGGGGACGGATACAGAATATCTCCGCCGTCGAAGCCGCACAGTGGCCCGTTTGGATCCCACCATTCAGGGGTCCTGGGTGAGTGTGTCTCATCTCTCTGGAGCCTCCAACACAGGAGCATCTGAGGAACGGCGTTCCTAGGGACGCTCTTACACCAGCCCTTGCCTGTCCCAGAAGCATGTGAAGGTGCAGCTAGTGACAGATGTCTCAGCACAGATGACATCACAACAGCCGGTGGTTTGCTCCCAGGAGATGAGCAGTGGGGCGGTGGGCCTTCCCCTCAGCACTGCCCAGGAGGTGCCCAGGGAGGACTGCAGAGCCCGGGGTCACAGGGGCTATCTGGGGGGTGCAGGGCGGAGGAGGGTGCAGAGCAACCCTGAGAAGAAGAGGAGGAGACGGGAAAGGCGCAGCCGAGCCGGGAGAGATTTCATTCCCGGCCAGGTGTCTGTGGAACAGAAACAGCTGCTGCCTCAGCTGAGTCATGGCCCCTTCCCCTCGGAGCACAGACCTTTGCTGTGGTCTCCTCTGGGAGAATTCTAATGCAGAGGTGCCCTGCTGGCTCCCTCCCGGTGGCAGGGGACTCCCGTTCTCAGAGGAGCTGTCCTCTGAAGTCTGCAGGAGGTTGCAGCAAGTGATTCTGCCTCTTGGCCTCGGTTTCCTCTCTGCAAATGGCAACTCGCAGCCGTCTCCCCACACTGTGGGCTGGTGTGAACTGGCTGAAACTACGGATGTGAGTGTGAAGCACTGAGCCCAGCACTACCAATACCTGGGAATAAGACGTCGCTCATGCAGGAGACTGACGGCTCCGTGGAAACAGACACATAAGCAGCCACTTAAGATGCAGGTGGACAATCAGCCCTGAGTGGGCAGAGCAGCCTGGACGGGTGCATAGGGTCAGTCAAGTCTTGGAGAGAGAGGTGGATTTAACTGGTTAACCAGGCCAGAGAACTGGGAGAGTTCTTCTCAGCACTGCCCAGGAGGTGCCCTGGGAGGACTGCAGAGCCCGGGGTCACAGGGGCTATCTGGGGGGCGGGGCGGAGGAGGGTGCAGAGCAACCCTGAGAAGAAGAGTAGGAGACGGGAAAGGTGCAGCCGAGCCAGGAGAGTGCCAGGGGGTGGAAGGGGCACATGCCAAGGTCAGAGGATGCTGAAGCAGCTGTGGGGGCTTCGGAGGCTGAAGGCTGGGCAGCTGGGCATGGGTCAAGGAGGAGCAGAAGGTGGGGCTGGAGCAGGGTGAGCCTCCAGCCCCGCTGTGTGCAAAGCTGAGATTTGGTGTGAACCATGAGTCAAAGCTGGTTCCTGCCCTGCTCCACCTACTAAATGCACAGAGAGCAAGCAGGGCAGGAAAGGCACCCACACCAGGGAGATAAGGCACTCCTGGGCATGGCGCAGTCTGTTCCAGTCTGGCCTCAGGACCCCACTGGCCAAATATTTGTCCAGAGCGAGGGAGTAGGTGAGGGTTCAAGGATTTCCTTTCATCAAGGAAACTCCAGGTGGCTCCCAGTCTCCAGGCGGCAATGCACAGAGGCAATTATTTTGAAAACATTATTGGCACCCTGGAGGCACGGTCTGTGTCCCCTTTGTTTCTGCCAACGGGCCAGACTTCCCCCAGCCCCGTAGCTGCACCCCGTCACTGTCCATCAAAATAGAGACGGTACAGCTAGCTGGGTGATCTCAGACAAAGGTCTCCAGTTGGGTGGCTGCAGAGGGACAGGGGTTGAGTGCTCTGAGTCCCAGGGCCTTGAGTTAGAAGATGGGGGTGGGGCCTCGGCAAACACTATCGTCCTCAGCCCTGACTATACGTTAAGTCACCTGGGCTGCCTTTAGAAAAAACCACCAAAGCCCAGGACTCATGCCCAGCGTCTGATTCCCAGGAAAGAAGCAGAGTGATGGGACAGACGCCCCGCACTCTTGGCCAACGCCTCATGTTGTGTTGCCGTAACATACGGCCGTGGGCGATGCTCTGTAACTCCTGTAAGACAGAAGAGGAAATGGCTCCTGTCTCAGGGCGCTGCCTGCCTTCCAGCGATGCCAGTCGACTGCCCTCGTCCAGGTCCTGCCCCACCTCTCAGTGCAAAATGTCACCATAGCGTTTCCTCTCCTCTCCCCTCCTGTCCTCTCCTCGAGCTTGGGTCCCTGTCTCGCCTGGAACATGAGACTAGCTCGTCCTTGGGTGTCCTCTGAACTCTGAGATGCAGCCTCACTGTCTGAGGATGGGGACCGAGGGGGTGCATGCACGTTTGGAGGCCCCTCCCAACGCTGGTATGACAGAGCTGGAAACCACCCACCTTTAATTCAGGCCAGTTGGGGGTGCTGAGCAGAGTTGAACTTCTCTAAGAACATGGGATAATGTACAAAACGGGACAAAAAAGTTTCCAAAGAGTTCACATCCACGGTCTACCCAACGAAATGATGTTTGTGAAAAAAAATTCTGTCAGGAATTGTCTTCCTGGGAGCTCTCGTGTGAAATCGGAGAAGCTTCTCATGTTTTCTTTCCAAATTAATCCACGGGAAGCAGCCAGGGTGCTGAAGGGGTGGTTAAGGGTATGCACTTTGGAGCCAGGGTTGATGAGTTTGAAGTGAGCTCTGTTGGTAGCTGGGTGACCTGCTGTCCCTGGGCAAGTTATTGAATCTCTCTGTCCCTCATCTGAAAAGTAGTGATAACCGTCATTGTGACTCAGGTTTATCTGCAGGGGGCTGGCACCTGGCTGCCACTAAGCTCTTGCTGTCGCGACGGTCTTTAGATGAAGCAGCCTCTTCTGTAACTATGTGAAAACTCCAAAATCCCAGCAGTCTGAATGTGATCTCAATATGCACAATCATCTGCTCCAAAACTTGTCCAAAGAGAGCCAGAATATTTAAATAACCTCAAGAGAATCAAAAAGGGAAAACCTACGGTCTCCAGAAACCCAAAGTTGAGAAAAATGTGCCTGCCCCGCACAAGGAAGCACAAAGGGCACTAAGATATGAGCCAGCCTTGCCTCCAACAACGGGCCTGGTCATGGAGGACGGGAAGACGCATTCTCTGGCACATTCTTGAGATTCGTCTGGAGTTTCCATTCCCTGGGGCTGAAAGAACTCTTCATCCACAGTCCCCAGTGTTTCTGCTGCAGGGCTGGGTAACCGAGGCAGTGCAGAGGGCTTGCTCAAATTCTCTGGATAGTTTTCTGGGGCTCCATTTCACCCTGTTAGGGCCTCCACAAGCGGAAATTCTTCCAAGGACACATGAAGACGTGAACCAAAGAGGTCTTCCTAGGCAAGGCTTTCCATCTGCACACCTGGGGGTGTGGTCCCCAGAGCCCAACAGCACGGAGCATGTGGTGTGTGCCTTTAAAGGCACGTGTGAACAACAGTTTGTGCCTCGAATTCCTGAGAAGTAAAGGAAACCGGCCACAGAAGAGAGGCTGAGCACCACTGCTGAGCTCCCCTGCCACTTAGGTCATCTCCCCAGGAAGGAAAAGAAGAGATGTCCTCGCCGGACGAGGGAGGCATGTGGATTCATCCCCGTGTGCTGGGAGGACTGCAGGAAGCTCCCAGCCCTTCTGTGTCCTCCCAAGGCCACCACAAGGAGCACCCCCGACTCATGTTGCTGGCAGTCTACTCACTCACTGAATCGTTTTAGCAGCCAAGGCTTATTTCAATGCCAGGAGGACGTTTTGTGCAGGTGATCTGACCAGAAAAACACCTGTGAGGTCCAGGAGAGGCTCAGCAGTCTTTGCCCAGCTCTATGGGATGATTGGTTTAAAGCTAATCATTCCAGGAGCGAGACAGAGGGTAGGAAGCATTTTTCTGTGTGCATGTATGTATGTATGTGTGTGTACATGTATGCTTGTGTATAGGTGCATGTATGTGCCTACATGTATGTGTATGTATGCACGCATGTGTACTTCTCTGTATGTATGTATATGTGTTTGTGTGCAGGTGTGTATGCGTGTATGTGTGTGCACATGTAGGTATGTGTATGGTGCCGCATATGCATGTGTATTTGTATGTGTGCATGTGCCTGTGTATGCTTGTGTATATGTGTGTGCACATGCAGGCATATGAGTGCGTGTGTGTGTGTGTGTGTGTGTGTGTGTGTGTGTCGGTAGAGCCGGGTTAAGGATGAGCTACTGTAGAGCAGGTAAATGGCACAACAGGCTTTGATGCCAGGATGAAGTGAAGAGGGCCCCGTGCACCAGGTGGTGCGAGAATGAATATGCACAGAGCAGGAGCTCAGGGGAAGACCCAAGACCCCTAATGCTGAAGGCTTCCCCAGAGTCCCGCAGCTGTTCCCCTAAGAAGACGCATCTGAGAGGGAGGGCAGGGGACTCTGCTCCAGTTCCGAGAGGCAACGAGCAAACACGGCTTGGCTTCCTTACTTTTGTCAGCCTACCTACCTCCCGGTACGAAGGAACTCAGTCCCAGCAAGTCAGAGAAGTTCCCTCACTCGCTCAGTCACTCATTCAGCCACTCACCCACTCACTCGCTCAGTCACTCACTCAGTCACTCACTCATCCACTCACTCGCCCACTCAGTCACTCATCCACTTAGTCACTCACTCACTCACCCACTCACTCAGTCACTCACTCACCCACTCACTCACCACTCAGTCACTCACTCACTCAGTCACTCACTCACCCACTCAGCCACTCACTCACCCACTCACTCAGTCACTCACTCACTCACCCACTCAGTCAGTCACTCACTCACTCACCCACTCACTCACTCAGTCACTCAGTCACTCACTCACTCACTCACTCACCCACTCACTCACTCAGTCACTCACTCACTCAGTCACTCACTCACCCACTCAGTCACTCACTCACCCACTCACTCAGTCACTCACTCACTCAGTCACTCACTCACTCACTCACCCACTCACTCACTCATCCACCCACTCAGTCACTCACTCACCCACTCACTCAGTCACTCACTCACCCACTCAGTCAGTCACTCATCCACTTAGTCACTCACTCACTCACCCACTCAGTCACTCACTCACTCAGTTACTCACTCAGTCACTCACTCAGTCACTCACCCACTCAGTCATTCACTCACTCAGTCACTCACTCACCCACTCACTCACTCACCTACTCACTCAGTCACTCACCCACTCAGTCACTCAGTCACTGAGTCACTCAGTCACTCACTCACTCACCCACCCACTCAGTCACTCAGTCACTCACCCACTCAGTCATTCACTCACTCACTCATTCACTCAGTCACTCACTCACCCACTCAGTCACTCACTCGCCCACTCAGTCACTCACTCACTCACTCAGTCACTCACTCACTCAGTCACTCAGTCACTCATCCACTCAGTCAGTCACTCACTCTGTCAGTTACTCACTCACTCACTCTGTCAGTTACTCACTCACTCACTCAGTCACTCAGTCAGTCACTCACTCAGTCAGTCACTCACTCACTCACTCAGTCACTCAGTCAGTCATTCAGTCACTCAGTCAGTCAGTCACTCACTCACTCAGTCAGTCAGTCAGTCACTCAGTCAGTCACTCAGTCGCTCAGTCAGTCACTCACTCACTCACTCACCCACCCCGTCACTCAGTGAGTCACTCTGTCACTCACTCACTCACTCAGTCACTCACCCACTCAGTCACTCAGTCAGTCACTCACTCAGTCACTCAGTCACTCACTCACTCAGTCACTCACTCAGTCACTCAGTCACTCACTCTCTTACTCGCTGACTCACTCACTTGGTCATTCACTCACGCATTTAACAGATGCTGGGAGTGGCATGGTCAGCACTGAGGCAGGCTCACCCAGTGAAATGGATCTCATTCGAAGACACACTTTAATGAACGGAGCCCACTTCTCCCTTTCTCTCCTGTCTCATGCAGTCTTGCGACAGTCCCCACTGGAGCAGCTCTGGGTCCACCAAGGGTGGATTCAGGCCCTGGTGAAAGTGTCAGTGTCTGAGCAACGGTGACCAGATACGAAAGCCACACAGGACAGGGACAGAGCCCGGTAGTTGGCACAAGATGCCCATCTGAGCCCATGGGGAGAGATCGGGGGAGAGGTCTGAGATTCTCTGGGTGGTGACCCTCTCCCTGCATCAACTGAAAAGGCAGAGTATTGGGAGTCTGACCCCTGGGGCTGCTACAAAAGAGAACCCTGGGAGCGGGGCTGGGACCTGACTTGGTTTACCTACAGCAGTCACTCTCCCCTCCTGGCTTCTTCCTCCCAGAGGGACCCCTCATGCCATCCTCACCCCCAGCTGGCCTTAGACCGTGCTCCTTATCTAATCTCAAGGCAAGAGCACGACTCAGGGGGTTTGGATCAGTTTGTGAAGAAGAGGATAGAGATTTGGGATTAAAAGCTCTAAGAGCTGCTGCCAGGCGCGGTGGCTCATGCCTGTAATCCCAGCACTTTGGGAGGCCGAGGTGGGCAGATCACGAGGTCAGGAGATCGAGACCATCCTGGCTAACATGGTGAAACCCCGTCTCTACTAAAAATACAAAAAATTAGCTGGGCGTGGTGGCGGGCGCCTATAGTCCCAGCTACTCGGGTGGCTGAGGCAGGAGAATGAACTGAGCCCAGGAGGCGGAGGTTGCAGTGAGCTGAGATCGCACCACTGCACTCCAGCCTGGGCGACACAGCGAGACTCCGTCTCAAAAAAAAAAAAGTCTAAGAGCTGAGTTCAGGGCCATAGTTTATATTAACAAGGCAAGTTGGACTGGGAAGAGCCCCCTGTTCAGGCTTGCAATCTCACCCGCCTTCAGCCCCAGGGAAGCCTTCTCTCCCATAGCACACGCAGCCAGCGGGACCAAGTGACTGCTGACTTCATACCTGCCTCCCTCACGAGCTAGAGGACAGTCGGTCACTAGTTCCTGAATGAATGAAAACTCCACTCAGATCCACAAATCTAGGGGTTTTCTGATAGGCATGTCTTCATTTGAACGGAAAATTCTGCCTACCACGTCTACACCGGTGGCCTTACCCAGCAGGATAAACAGAAACCGAGAGGTTCCATGAAAATACAGGGTAAGCCACCTGGAAAAGGCAAAATCCGTGGAAATGCTAGACCAGACAGGAGTGGCTTAAATGCAAGAAAAACAAAAGGGATTTATGGGAGTCACCAGGTAGGTTAGTAATGTGAACAAACCCACAAAACAGGTGTACAACTGCAAGAGAGAGGCGAGAGGAGGCAGCCTGCCCCGGGTCTGGGAGGGTCCAAGGGAACTGGAACTCCCAGAGTCTCTTGGGGACTGGCGGCCTTTGTCAGTTTCACCCTCTGTCCGCCTTTGAGGTCAAGGACTCATCTTAGATTCATCAATGTTGGGTAGGTGGAGTGGAGACCTGAGCCCTTTCCCTACCGATGCTTGCTGAGAACAAATGTCTCCGAGTTCTTGATCTGGGCCAGGGATGTGGGCAGACTCAGGGTGTAGGCACGAGACAGACAAAAAACAAAGGTCTGCAGGATGTGCTCTGAGTGCCAGGAAAGGGTGCTAGGAGGGTGGGCTTCCCGGTGGAGGTGACGGGTTAGCTCCGGCCTGAAGGGCCACCTCCAACAAAGAAGCATTCCCACTGCCGCCCCCACCCCGATCACACGTGGAGATGAAGGAGGTCTGTGGCTGGTTTTAGAAAGAGTCCTGAGACCCACAAGCTGGGTGGTTCCCTTCCTGCCAGGCCCCTCAATCCAACTCTGCCCACCCGCCAAGCAGCTGGGGCCAGGATGGAGGTTGGGGGAGGTGAGGGCACAGGTTTTTGCCAGAGGCTGCCCCCTCCCTGAACCGATGCCCTTGCATACAGCCGACACACTGACACTGATGACAAATCGCCTTTGAAAGCTTTAATCTGAACCCACTGGTAACTCGTTCCTGTGCCTGCGGGCAGATGTAGCCATGCGTCACTCAGAACCCAAAAAGCTCTCCCTGCCCATCCTGGCACCCGGCTGGCAGGTGATGCAGAGAGGCTTAGAAAGCAGCCTGCTCCCTGGGCAGAAGGCAGGCTGGGGCTGCCACCCTGTCCTCCACCTCCTGGCTGTCCCCATCAAGGTCCCCGCCGAGGACACACTGACCTCTGACCTCAGTTGTTCCTTCCTGGTGAGAGGACAGCCACTGGGAAGGCCCCAGGAAGGTGGTGTCTGTGCAGGACTTGGTGACCCCAGGGAAAAGTCAAGTGTGCCCTCCACAGCCTGGCCCAATCCCAATCCTCCTGCAGCACCTGCCTGAGAATGGAACAGAAGGCACCTACGGCAAAGGTGATGGGGGCGGGCCTTGTGGACCCCGCGGTGGGTACGGGTCGTCCAGTTGGTTTCAGAGCAGATGTTTAAATTATTAGTCAACTAGTAATAACAGCACTTGATAGCTATGGGGCAGTAGCTACGTGAGGCAGGTGCTGCTATGTCCCCATTTTACTGATGCAGAAACTGAGGCACAGTTACCTACCCACGTTCCCACAGCTGCTGGGTGCTGCTCTGATGAGCTGGCTGAGGCTCAGATGCAGGACCCCATGGGTGTGACAGTTACCTCCTGTGTCTAGGGTCAGCTTTGGAAATGGCCATGGATTTTTGTTTTGGTGACAGTTTCTCACTCTGTCACCCACACCAGAGGGCAGAGATGCAATCACAGCTCACTACAGCCTTGATCTCCAGGCTCAAGTGATCCTCCCACCCCAGCCTCCTGAGTAGCTGGGACTATGGGTGCGAGCCACCATGGTTGGCTAATTTTTTATAGTTTTTGTAGAAATGGGGTCTTGCCATGTTGCCCAGGCTGATCTCAAACTCCTGACCTCAAGTGACCCTCTCACCTTGACCTCCCAGAGTGCCGGGATTACAGACGTGTTAACATGGAGGAGGGAGAGTAACCAATTAGTCGTCAGGCCACTCCCAGCCGGCTTTTCCCTCCCCAGCCCGCCACTGAAACAGTGAGTCCCAGTAGCCTCTGTTCCTTCAGAGGAACACAACAGCAAGGTTTGTGTTGAAGACGCACACAGCACAAGATGAAACGCCAAAGGGTCCCGCTCCCTCTTGGGCAGATGCGGGCCTGCAGCTCAGTCTGAAGAAGAGGGAGGGGCCGCCATGCAGACCCCACCCCTCCCCACTCCACTCGTAGGTCAGGGGACCTATGACCTATGTTCTTCCCCATGGCCTTATTCCTGGAGTGCCCACCTCCTGGGCCCCCTCCCTCCAAGTTGGTTCTGGGACTTTCACTTTCTGCCTCCTCCCCCTGCCCTTCCAGCCCCTCCCCTCCCAGCCCACTGCATTCTCACAGGGACTGGAGGCTGTGGCCAGGACCTGCCGGTCAGTGAGGCTGGCTGTGGCTGGTGACAGGCTTTCCTTCGATTTCCTACATATGTTTTTCAGGACCCAGGGCTTGGGTACATTGAAATGATTCGCCCAATACTAGGGTAGAACACTAGCTATGAATGCGGTAGGAGTGGCAGAGAGCCTGGGGAGACGTGCTGCAGACAATCGGAGTGTGGCACATTCATGACCCCAAGAAGGGAAATGACTACGCTGCTCGTGCCCAGCCAGGAGCTCACTGGGAACCAAGCCTTTCACCAGGGGGTCAAAGGCAATCTGGAGCCTTCCAAATCGATGAGAGACCACGAGGGACCTGCGCCATGCTCCACACCCTTGGGAACAATCTGAAAGCTGTGAGAAGGAGCTGGCCACACACCCCAGAACATTCCTCCTTCAAGGACAAGGAGCACTATCCCCCACTGTCCTCACACCCGTCAGCACCAGGAGGGAACACCTGCTGGGGAATCCTATCAGCACCTGTCCCTGAGGTCTGCTGCTCCAAGTCACCGTGTCCAGGGACTGAGACTAGAGGGGCCAGGAGGAAGTCCCAGAGTGGCTTAAGTCAGCCCCCAGCCCCTTCTAGTTCAAGTCTGGCTGGTTCTGTCCTGTGTCAAGGCAGGTCCCAGGTGGTCCAGTCCCTACTCCCAGCCGGTTCTCTGGAGAATGTGTCTGGGCTCAGGGCAAAGCCAAGCCACTACTGAGTCTGTGCAGAGCGAGTCTGCGCTGGTGGCACAATGTGCTCTGCCCCTCGCCTGCCGGTGTGGCGAGTACAGGTACAAAATTCAGCCCTTGTCCCTGGCCGACCTGAGGGTGAGCCCTGCTGGCAGCAGCATCTTGGGGCTTCCTACTCACTTCTGAAAGCACTGGGACAGAACGGGTGCCTTCGCACCAGTCCTGGCATTGCCCCATCCCCGTGAGGTGGGGGAGTGACATATGAAAAGCTAACAGCCAATCTTTTAAAATGTAGCTCAGGTGTGATGACATGTCCGACAGTCCTGTGGATCAGAGCCCCGTCATCGCTCAGCAGTTTCCAGGGAGCAGCTCAGAGTCACTGAGTCCTCACCAAAACTGGCCTCTGGTCCCGAAAAACTGGAAAAGTCACTTCTCCACCAAACCCCTGTGGAACCTCTGTCTGGAACACTTCTCCTCCCTTTAGAGAGGAAGAGAGGAGAAAACAGGGCAGATCAGGCAGTGGCCCTCCCTAAACAGCTACAGAGAGGGGACAGAGCCGGAAGCCAGTGAACACAGTCAGGGAAGGCCAGCTCAGACCCCATCCTGCGCTGGCCAAGCAGGGCCTGCTGCACTCCCTGGTGCCTGCAGGAGACGTTCCTAGCTAGAGCAGCAGGGAACTTGCTCCAGGAAGAGAGGAGGTCCCTGGACTGACTTGCGAGAACCTCAGAGCACCTGACTGCTTGCCCCAGCCTCTCCCTGAGAACTGTTCCCACTATTCTGTTCCCCTTAAAAATATCAAGAGGGTGGCCTGGCTTCCAGACGCCCGCGCCAAGTCTCAGAGAGTCAGTGGAGGGTGTGCAGTGCAATGCGTGTTCTTCAACCTGCCTTGGACCTCGTGACTCAGAACCTGCAGAGTGTGTTTTTGACAAGGAGAACCAGAGGAGGTGAGAGCGTCCCAGTGGTCCTGAGCTGTCCCTTCATTCTGTAGGGGGGGGAGAGAAGGGACCTCAGCCTTGCCCAGGGCTGCCAGGTGGGCAGGGCTGCCTACTCAGGATCCCAGGGTGCCTTCTCGTGCAAGCAAAATCTCGCGTGGCTGTTTAGGTGAATGGAGAAGGCTGGGCATGACCTGCTCACTGCTAGAAGTGCTCGCTGGACCCTGGAGACCCCGTGACCCAGGCAAGCTGCTCCCTGTCTGAAAGTGAGATTTCTGTGATTCTACATCTCTGGTCTCCTAGGAGCTCCCACGCCACCTTCTCAATGCAGCCACAGCTTGGATCACCGGCCCGTGGCCCAGTCCCGGCTCTGTCAGGCTGGCTCTTCCCCAGCCAGGTAGAAATCTAGCGTAGGTCCCTAGACTTCTCTGGTCACTCTTAATAAAAGTCCGGTCGCTTTGGGTCACAGAAAAGGTGTCATTTTAGTCATTACTCTGTCCAGTTCACTGAAACTGTCAAAACTGCAAACTGATTTCAGATGTCTCCCCACCCCAACCCCAACCCGTGATGTGACCGCACTTCTCTTGGTGCTTCTGAGGCACAGAGGAGGAGGGCGTGCCCCTGGAGGGCTGGTGGCATTCCTCAGGCTCTCATTCACAACCCTGCCTCCTTTGTGGCCTGGGGAGGAGAGGCTGAGTAGATGATCTCACAGCCCTCCTCAGCCACTTCCTTCACAAGTCCTGAAAGGGTAGGGGTCTCTCCTGGCACAGGGGTCTCTCTGTGGGAGACCTTGCGTCTGGGGGCCATAGCTGGGACAGAAAGCCTTCCCTGCACGTCTTCTGTTTCCTGAATGGTGGCTCAGTGTCATGAAGCCCCTGGCTTAGAATGGAGAAGGAGGAGACAGAGAGTGGCTCCAAAAGGAAAAGTTCCTCACTGGGTGGGACTTTTGCAGGGGAGCAGACCAGAGGCAAAGCCCTGGGTTTTGTTGGAGGAGGAGAGAACACTGGCCATTTCACCCGTGGCCTATACGGGGCTGCGCTGATGACCCCACCACCTGCAATAGGGGCACAGCCTCTGTGACTTTGGAGGTATTTGGAAAGGCAGTCTCACTTCCTAGTTGGGCCTGCCTTCCTCTTCCTGTGAGGACTCTGCAGATTTCAGAGGTCAGGAGGTCTGGGATAGGGCTGCAGGGCCAAGGAGAGATGGCTATGCCCCACCCTGAGCTGCCACCCTCACTTGCTCCAACGGGCAGTCCCCTCACCATGGAAGTGGTGCTCCACCCTGATCGCCTTGGACATCTGCGCCTCCCAGGCTGTTGGGAGGTCAGGCATGGGAATCTGAACTATGAGTCATCAACAACTCAGTGGACTACAGATTTAAAAAATAATCAAGCATTTCACGCCCATCGGATTAGCAGAAAATTATAAAGTCTGACGCTACCAAGTGATGAGGAACAATGGCGACTTTCATGTGCTGCTGGTGGGGGCCGGGGAAGGTCCAGGTTTAGCCTGAAGCTTAAACAATTGGGGGGACCATCTTTATAAAAGAATACAAAATTAGGCAGAGTCTTGGAAAGGGCTTGAGTAAGGAGGGGTCTTGAACTTAATTAAACATCATCAGCTTCCCAGTAAATCTGCTCCTGGGGAGTGTAAATTGGAATTACTCTTTTGGACGGCAGTGTGGTAACATCTGGGAAAATGACAATGTGCACATCCCCTGTGACCCAACAAGTCACATCCTCCACGTGTTTATGGGAGAAATTTCCAACAGGTAACTACAGAGGCAAATATGAGAATGTTCTTGGCAATGCTGTCTGCAGTAGCTAAAGGCAGCAAATTGGAACTATCCCAAGTGTCTATTAACAGAAGACTGGATAAACAAAGTCAACATGTATAAATCTCAGAACATAATGTTGCCTGGAAAGCATGTTGCAGAAGGATATGTACGGTACGCTGGCATTTTCATAAAGTGTGAAAACGTAAAACAATGCCATGTGTAGGTCATATGTGTGCAGTGAAAGTCTAAACTGTGCTTGGAAGTGAACACCACATTCAGCTTACAGGTGGCCCTGAGGATGGAGGGAGAGAGAGGATAAGATAACAGAAGGATGTCTAGGGGGCTTAGATGCCATCTGAAAGCTTCATTTCCTTAATACCTAAAAGCAAACAAGGCAAAATATTAAGATTTGACAAAGTTGGGCAATAATTATGCAGGTGTCTGTTAAAGTATTATATATATATTCTTCTGTGGCATTTGAAATATTTCTATTTTTGTTTTTTAAACTTGAGCGAAATTCACATATCATCAAACCAATCATTTTAAGTTGACAGTTCAGTGGCATTTAGTGCATTCATAGTATTGTGCACCCACCAACTCAATCTAATTCCAAAGCATTTGCATTACCCCCCAAAAGGAAACCCCATAGCCATTAAACAATTGCTCCCCTCGGTGCCTGGTTAACCACCAGGGTTTGTGTTCTGTCTCTACAGATTCATCTATTCCAGATATTTTATATAAACGGAATCATGCACTATATGACCTTTTGTGCCTGGTATCTTTCGCTTAGCATAGAGTTTTCAAGGTTTATCAACTTTGTAGCACGTATCAGTACTTCGTTCCTTGCTATGGCCAGGTCGTATCCATCGTTTGGGTGTGTCACATTTTGTTATTTAGTTCATTGCTGATGGCCACTGGGCTGTGTGTTATTGTGAAGAGTGCTGCTATGAACATGCATGTGCCGATACTAAAGTCCCTGCTTTGAATCCTTTGGTTACATACCCAGGAGTGGAATTGCTGGGTCAGAGGGTCATTTTTTGAGGGAACACCAAACTGTTTTCCACAGTGACTGAACCATTCACATTCCCACCAGCGACATACAAGGGTTCCAAATTCTCCACACCCAATACTTGACGTTTTCCATTTTTTTGGATGCTAGCCAGCCTAATGGGTGTGAAGTGGTATCTCATTGTGATTTCTTTCTTTCTATTTATTTATTTAATTTATTTACTTATTTATGTATTTTTTTGAGACCAAGTCTCACTCTGTTGCCCAGGCTGGAGGGCAGCAGCGTGATCTTATTGCAACCTCTGCCTCCCAGGTTCAAGCGATGCTCATGCCTCAGCCTGCTGAGTAGCTGGGACTACAGGCATGAGCCACCACGCCTGGCTAAGTTTTTTTAAAAAATTTTTTTATTTTTAGTAGAGACGTCGGTCAGTCTGGTCTCGAACTCCTGACCTCAGACGATCCACCCACCTCAGCCTCCCAAAGTGCTGGGATTACAGGCGTGAGCCACCGCACCTGGCCTCATTGTGGTTTCAATTTTGTTTTCCTAATGCCTGATGATGTTAAGCATCTTTTTATGTCCATATTGACCATTTGTATATCTTCTTTGTAGAAACCTCTGTTCAAGTCCATTGCTCATTTTCTAATTGGGTTGTCTTTTTGTTGAGTTGTAATATTCCATAATTAAAAAAAATACCTCCCCCGGGGTGGCCAGCGCCTTCTCAGGCCCTTTAATTCCGCATTCCTTCCACACATCAAATATATACAGCTTCATATTTACAGTCCACACAGAGGAGAACTGGGAGGCTTGGGGCCAGCTTTCTCCTCTTCTCTCCCGGGCACCTGCTAGCCCACCCCTAATCTAGAGCATAAGGAAGACGCCTGGAGGTGACTGTGCGTTGGGGGTCTCCTGGGAAGTGAGGAAGGGAGGTGGGGAGCAGGGGTGAGGTGGAGAAGTGACTTTCTAAGTCAGCTGAGAGAAGCGTTCTGGGCGAGGGGGAGTTGTTTGTTCTGGAAGCCCCCTACGGGCAGGCCACAGAGCCACGCTGGCGCTGTCGGAGCAAGCTGCCAGTAGTAGACGGTTCCAAGGTTTCCCACACCCCTGTAGTCTCTGCAGCATCGGTGGGTTGGGTGGGAGCCTCCGGTCACCTTTCCCGCAGATGAGATCGCCCCGTCTCACTGGACTGTTCCTACTCTCAGGGGCACTCCCTCTTGTATGTTGAAGACCAGCGCGGGGCTGGCTCTCTGTGAATGGTGGGGCTGCGTTCATTGGCGTCCCGGGTTTCCTCTAAATATAACTGCTTTGATTCCGCCTATCCCTGGGATTTAAAGTCACCGGTTCCACCCAGGTTTGGGTTCGACTCGACTTTCACCCCAAGTTCAATGACAGTCCTGCTCCCAGGCCGCCGCAGCGGCCCCTGCCTAGCCCCTGCCCCCAAGCCCTCCTTGGACGAACTGACCCTCCCCCTCCAATCAGGCAATAACAACCTGGGGTCCAATTTTTAAACAGCCAGGCTCCGACATTTTCTTTCCCCTTCAACTCTCCACGCCTGTGCTTCTGAGGGTGGGGTGCCGGAAAAGGTGTCCCCGAGGCGGCGACGGACCGCACCCACAGAATATACAGGGCACACCCCGCCCAGGTGAGGGCCAGCGGGCCCCGGGGAGTTGAGGCTGAGGGAGGTCACTTCGGCTTCGCGACGCCGTGAGCGCTTATCAGGAGTTCTCAGTAGGAAGCGCTTTCCCGCAGCCTCAGGCGGGGACCGTGCGCGCAAGGCGGGACCGACCGCAGGTGCAGAGGCCCCAGGGCTGCCCAAGGTCAGCCGAGGCACGCGGATCGCTCTCGCCGCCCCCCCAAGCCCCGTCTCCTCCACTCCCACCCCACACACGGGCCAGAAGGACTGCGGCCGCGCAAACTAGGGCCTCATTTCCAGATCGAATTG